GACCTATAGAATATGAGACCAGGGAAAGATAACCAAAATGAATGTTAGCCAAAAGCCAGATACACTGGTGGTGGCAGTGATGGTGCTAGTGTTAAGACACCTAAATATATCAGTCAAGCAAAAGAATGAAGGTAAGCTATGTTTTAGACTCTGTGCCAGGGTTCTGTATTTTAAAAGTGCATGGTTCAGGGGCTGGAGAGATGGCTCAGCGGTTAAGAGCACTGGTTGTTCTTGCAGAAGACCCAGGTTCGAATCTCAGCACCCATATGGCAGTAACAACTGTCCGTAACTCCAAGCCCAGGGGATTCGACAACCTCTTCTGACTTCCGCAGGCATTGCACGACCCGAGTGCACTTACCTATATGAGGCAATACACTCATACACATAAAATAAAAATAATATATAAAATTTTTTTTAAATCATAGTTGCAACATCTTTTAAGTGCTGAAAGGAAGAAGAAACTGTCAAGAATTCTACATTTAGTAAAAATATCTTAAATGGGGCTGAGGAGATGACTCCGCAGTTACAGTGCTTGCTGGTGCATGAGGACCAGTGTCCAAGCTCCCCAGAACCCACATAGATGCTGAGTGGGCATGGCAGCCTGCATTTCCAGTGTGAGACAGCAAAGTCAGGGGATTCCTAGAGTAGGCTGGCTAGCCAGACTGGCAGCATTGGTGAGCTCTGAGTATGACGGAGAGACCCCGCCTCAAAGAATGTAATGGGCTCTTTTTTCATGGCACCTCCTGAGTGATCAACTGCATCAAGGTAAAGCTGAATCTCTTCCTCCCAGCCCTAGCAGTCAGGAACTCATTGATTGAAGTGCGTGATAGACACAAACTTCGTACTTTCTATGAGAAGTGAATGACTACAGAAGTTGCTGCTGATGCCCTGGGTGTAGACTGGAAGGGTTGTATTGTCCACATCTGTGTTGGGAATAACAGATAAGGCTTTCCGTGAAGCAGGGTGTCAACCCATTTTAGAGTCCACCTGCTGTTGAGTTAGGAGCGTTCCTGTTAAAAACCAAGAACTAAAAGGAGAAAGCAGAAGTCTGTTGCAGGGGGTGTTGCATGGTGGATGCCAACGTGAGTATTCCCAACATGGCTGTTACAAAAAGAGAGAGAGAGAGAGGAGGGCATTCCTGGACTGGCTCAAAAGAGCTGCAAATTTTTCAGGCTTTCCAAAGAAGATGGTGTCTACCAATATGCTGTCAAAAAGCCCTTAAACAAAGAAGCCCAAAACCAAAGCACCCAAGATTCGGTGTCTTGTTATTTGAGGAATCCTGAGCACAAACTCCATGAAGAAACAACACACCAAGAAAAATAAGGAGGAAACTGAAGAATATGCCAAACTTTTAGCCAAGAGAATGAAAGAAGCCAAAGAAAACATCAAGAGCAGGTCGCCAAGAGACACAAGCAGTCCTGACTGATACCTTCCTCTGCTAAGTGTGAGCTCTGTCAAAGATGGGAAGCCTTAAGAGTAAAAATAAATGATTAATTCTTGGGAAAAAAAGAGTAAGGTGG